ATTGGGAAAATATCGCTGCACCCCAGATTTCATTAGCAGTATCTTTATTGTAAACATTGGAAGTTGCACAAGAATTGTTCCAATTATAGAAATATGCAATTTGAGGAAGGGCAAGCGGTAAGGAAAGAAGAAAAGCTTTCTACATTTGCAGTATAGGTGGAAGTCAAAGGTAAGTCAAGAAATCAGGGGAGTTTACGTGAAGGATCATATAGGCAAGTCTCCTCAAACAGAATGTGGTTTTTTTTACTCAGTGTAGATCTGCCCAAGCAAAAAAAGATTTAAGTCAAAACTTGGACAAGCTCTGCTAAACTTGAATGATTTCAAAAAATACTTGGCATCGATTTATCATTACCGAACACAATGAATCATATTAGTGCCTAAACCTCTTATAAGAAGCTCTTAATTTGAATAAGCACCAAAATTCACCGATAACGCTTCATTTACCTTGTTTTGCAGCAAGTCCCGACCGAACATTCTTAGGGTACGGGAGGGTCGCTGTTTTCTGAAAAATACTCACCACTTGTCCAGCATTGTTGTCATATATGGCCATTGTAGTGACGGTGTAAGCCCACCTATATGCGGGCAAGCTAAGGGTTGATCCCCATTCATACAACACCAACGGTTGTGCTTTCAGTTCATCAAGAGACCTGGAAACTGTCGATCGAGCTTATGAGTGGGATTAGTTGAGGCAATTCTTTACCTATTTGCTCTAGCATCACCGATTTCTAGCCTGTACATAGTTGCGTCTCCAGATTCCGTCGGAAACAGACTACAGGCAGAACTGCCATATTTGGACAAACAAGACGTATACAGCTGAAATTACCCTTACTCTTTTTTCGTTTTTAGTTGCAGGATTTGAGAGGTATGAGCAAGTACATTTGTAAAACTATATATAGGATTGCAGGGGAGGTCTTGCAAGGAATTTCAACTGTTACAACTAGCTATGTTCTCCATACCCTGGCTTACATAGTAACAATCTTGTGCCTTTAAATCTCGGGTAGCAATGCTAAAGCTTTCGATTTGAGTGGGAGTACTAGGAGATTTTTTTCTTGTATAGATGAAGCGTCAGTAAAGCCAATGATGTTTCGGTAGGCTAACACCTAGAGGTTAATTCAATATATGACCATATCTCGTTCGTTTTTCCCGAATATTTAATGTTTACGAAAAACCGCTAG